AGACGACGGAGGATTAGGTAGGAACCAAAGAACACAATTCACTACATGATACGGAATATTTCTCTGAGACGTGAGTCAAACACGTGAGGCTTTTAATAATGCAAATGATTTGAAGGTGCTGCCATTAACATCATTATATACTGTGAACAGTTGTAACTCCATAAGCCTGTTGCACAGCGTCTCCTCGATGCTCCAGGTCTGCCCACGGCTCATTGTTGTTGTGTAGCGTTAGCAGCATAGTTAGCAGCTGCGTGGGTAATTCCTCACAGTTTCTGTCTACAGCTTGTTAAGCCCAAAAAATGCGCACGTATCTTGGAGTTGTGTCGGATCGACACGGATGTATTCAGACCTGATTCGACTTGGACCAGAATTCGTTTGGAAGCGGACCGAGACCACCTAAAAAAGTGGGTCTCGATTCGGTTCTTTGGTCCGGACCAGGATTTGTGTGTGTGTATTCAGACCTGCATAAAAGGTTCGGATCAGAGTTCCAAACGAATCCTGGTCCGTTTAAAGTGGAGCAAATGTGCAGGTCTGAATACACCCTCAGATTGATACTGTGGAGAACTGATCTGAGTCCTACACAATCCTCAATCTGGCTTTTGCCAGGTTAGTTTTTCCCGCTCCCTCTAGACTGTGGGTCCAATGTGTTTGGTTTTGACTCTCTGATCTGTTGTTCAACAGCTTTATAAAGTCCTCCGAGATGACTACTGTTGTGATTTTAGCAAAATTCACTACCTGCCCTCAATAATGAATTGAGGGTCAAAATGTTTTTTCAGATCTTTGATGGATTCACAAAACTGTCATATTACGCCAATGCCTGGATGTCCTTTCTACGTGCCAACATCAGGCATATGATTTTGAATATTTTCACCGCTTCTGGAAACCTTTATGAGAAAAATAACCATTGTTTATATATACATCAAAGAAAATGTGGAACTTTGTGACGTTTTTTGGTTTCTGGTGGAAATGACTAGAAATTAGCTCTAAATTAAGAATAGAAATCTGACTTTTGACACTTACCAGGAAAGATTTTTCAGCTGCTCTCCACCACAATGTGAAACTGTCCGCTCTTTGGGATGTAGTGATGTCTCATGAATATACACACACACGTTACAGCACGTTTTTCTCCTCATGTGTTACATTGCTTCGCTCACATTAAACCTCTTCGACCTGCAGTACTTCATGTTTTCTGATTTCTTGGATTTGTCCCTGTAGTAATGTTCCTCGCTCCAGCGCAGAGCCTTAACCAGGTCAGTTTTCCGCCTCTGCTCCTCTCATTGATTTGTGTTGACACTGGCTAATGTGCCCTGTGCCAGCACCTGTTCCGCTTAATAAACCCAGCGCATTAAACGACATTTGAAATCCATTCGTCTTCACACCATGTGGGCCCATTGTGAAGTAGGCAGGTTATCGCTGAATTGTGGATTTTTAGAGGATCTGGTTCAGAGAAAGCATTGAATTGAAGCTATACTGACCAGCTGTCCGGAAAATTGATGCACTCCCAGCTAATTCCAGTTTCGAACTAATGGATATGGATTTGAACAAATTGAACTTTTGAGCTATCTGAAAATAAGATGTAACATCAGAATGCCTGAATTAACAGTCCTGACTAGAACCAGGAAGTATGATCGCATTAGTCCTGTCCTCAGGTCTCTGCACTGGCTTCCTGTGGCTCAGAGAATAGACTTTAAAACAGCTCTGCTTGTGTACAAGTCTCTCCATGGCCTCGCACTGAAGTACTTATGTTAGTGCCATATGAACCGACTCTGACTCTGAGAAGCACAGGAACTGGCCTCCTGCTGGTGAAACGCTGCTAAAATCTGGAACCATCTTCCTGAAAATGTGAGACAGGCCTCTTCTCTGACAATGTTTAAATCCAGGTTAAAAACAGTTCTGTTTAGCTGTGCATACAACTGAGGAAGTTTATATTTTGTCTTTCTTTTTAACCTCTTAAACTCCTCTATCTTTGCTTATTTAAAAACACATCTTACATCTCACATGCTTGTGTGATGCATCATTTTAAAGCTAGGCCCTTCTAGTTTATGTAAATATACACTAAAATAATTTATCTCATTCCTATTTCACTCTGCATCCTTTGAAGTTTGGGAAAAACCCTGTTTTTTTTAGCCTCGCCTAAAAAATTCAATGTATAAATACCCTAAAAAGCCTACTTCAGTAGAAGAATAAAATATTCAAAGCCAATTTGTTCATTCTGTTGTTGACAACAACTGTGTAAAGTTTCAGACTTCTAAGTTTTATAGTTTTTATGCAATTTCTCTTTTTTATCAAGTAGTGCCATTCGGAACCAATTTGGCAAAATCTGTGCCAAATTGTGCCAAATTGCTTTACTAACATTTCACCACCATAAAAAGCCAATTTTTTAGTTTGGTGCTTATAAGTTACAAATCTGTGATTTTCTTTTATATTTTTTCAAAATTAATTTTTTAGTAGTGTAAATGCATATAAAATATGCGCAGCAATGTAACAGTCTTTACGCACGCTTTTACTGTGAAAATGAAAAAAGTTCCTACAAGTCCCACCCATCAAAAGAAAGCTCTTTTTATTGGATACTTAGACACGTCAATCATTCAGTGCTAGCACATTGCGCTAGCCGTGTAGCTAACAACAAACCAAACGGACCCTGTGCAAATGGATGCGGTTCGTCTTTTTCACAAGCGTACTGCGGACGGAAAACTGCTCTCAATTTGAAGCTCAGGACTCAAGGAACACGTGGATATGATGTTTTTGGGAAACAAAGCTCAAACTTGGCGAAATGTAAAAGAGCAGTCTGAACCTCTTTTGGAGCGTTTATTTTGCCACAGAAAAAACGCACATTTTTGGATTATTTTTGAAGAATGGATTATACTTTGGGAAATACAAGTGGATATTCTTTTTCACTGAAGACTTACGGAGAGAAAGAGACTGAGCAAGGTCGGAGAAAGTCTAATTTGATGGAGCAGCAGAAGACAAAAGGTAAAAAACGAATACAAACGTGATTTATTTTGTGCCCATATTATGCATTATATCTTTTTAATGCAAAGTCTGATATCGTTTACACTTACATATAAATATAGCTGAGAAAATATATTCAAAATACATCTGCTATTGCCAGCGGATGTATTTTTTTTCTTGTTGCTCCCGCCGGGGGGGGGCTAGCGAGCTTACTGTAATTATTTATGTTATCTTGTTTTGTTCAGCACTTTGAGTTGCCTTGTGTATAAAATGTGATTTACAAATAAACTTGCCTTGCCCTTTACTCATTTACTTGTCATCTGCTAATTTTTGTATGAAGGAACTGTAAGTTGAAAGGTGATCCAAAGTGATGGTTTCGAAAGGTTCATCTTGTCTTGTAGATTGAATATAGTTGTGTTATACCAGTCAAAACATTTTAAGGTAAAATCACCGCTAGCTTACGTTTGTCTGGTGTCAGTGGCGGGCCGTGCATGGGCACAAAGCATGTAGTTTGTGCACAACAGCATGACGCACATGTGGATAATGCGTGACTTTCTTCTCTGTCAGTATTGAGAACGAGACCAAATGTGCAACACGACCGTTCAGAACCCGGTTCTGAGCATTAGTGTGGGAAAGTCCAACATTCTGACGCTACTCCTGGCCTGCTAGTGGCCCTGAGAGAAGGAAACTTGTAGCTGATTGGCTAATGCCACAGGTTTGTTTTCATTTACTTTAAGCTACGGTGGGCCAGCAATGTAGATTCTGCAGGCCTAGAGGCAGATTTTGGACCCTGGAAACACATGATACTGTACAATACAATACAATTTATTCTTGTATAGCCCTAGGTCACAACAGAAGTCATCTCAGAGGACTTAACAAAACCATTGAAATCACCAACACAGGTCAGAGAATCAACAGTTAAAACACATGAAAAAAATAAAGCACACACAGAAGAAAATGTCCATACATGTAGAATGCTAAAGTGTCCTGATCATCACCAATCCTTTCTGTTGGACACTAACTGTCCAACAAGACCCTCCTGCATCGACAAGGAAAAACTCTTAAAAAACCCAGTGGGAAAAAGTGAGAAACCTTGGGGAGAACTAGGGAAACCCACAGGGAGGGAGACCCATTTGAGAAAGGGATCCGCTCCTCCGGACGGACAGGCTAATGATCCAGGACCTAAGCTATCTACAGAACGTGGACCAGTGGCCGCTGAACGTGGACAGGTCTGGTGCAGGACTGAAGCACTCCCAGGCGGGTCGGGCGGGGCAGTCCGCAGGTGTAGGTGGAGGAAGCCAGGCTCAGAGATCCCGTCATCGTACCATGAAACAGACAATGGGACAACGGGTGAATAGCAATGAACAAACTACAGTCAAAATCCTAGTAATGCTAAACAGATAAAGTAAGAAGGAGGAGAGGATAGTGCTCAAATCACCATACTTCTCCCAGCAAACTGACTCCCTATGCAGCTTGACTGACAGTCTGAGGAGTTTAGCCTTCCCTGAGTCTTACCTTCCTAGCCATATGCTAAACTAAAGAGGACTGTCTTAAACCTAGCCTTGAATAAAGAGATTCATGGATTGCACACCGATCCAGGCAAACCTAATTATATATTATATATCATATATATCACATGTACCATACAAATTACATATATTATATATAATACATAACATAACATTGTAGGGTAAGAAAGTGAATGTGGAGAGGGGAGGCTTTGTATCAGTTTGTGTCGGTATTAAACGTCGCAAACGTAGTCCTAAACCTCGCCTACTCCGGGTTGAATGGATCTAAATTTTAAGTAAGAGGGGCACCAGCAAGAAGTTGCAATTGAACTAGTCCATTCTGCCTCGATCAGTCTCATAATCTGATGGGTCTTGAGTTCTATATCGGCCAGGGATATCATGAATCATACAAAGAACACTGACGACTCTTAAAAGTTAGCGTGGGTTTATTAACTACATATAGAAACGGGAACGGTAACCGGGAGGGATCACACAAGTATGATAAGTCACATGAACAGGAATGTCAGAAACACATCACCATCACACACACAATACAACTCCAGCAAGTCTTACTGTTACTGCCAAGTCCCAGAGGTGAAGATGCTTTCTACCCGTTTGGGTCAGGCGGTCAAACACTTCAGACTTCCTCACGCACGGAGAGCGGGCGCACACACACTCCAGTCTTTCCCACACACGGGAGCAGGGAGCGGGGATCGGTCCCGGGAAGCCCAGAGGTGGCTTGAGGCGCGATGGTCCACGGTGCTCCTTTTTGGTGGGAGTTGGAGAGCAGTTACGCCGCTGCGGGACAGGCAAGTCGAGTTCAGCTCGATAGGGAAAAGGATCGGGCAGCTGTCCAGGCAGCGAGCTCCAACCTGCGCCTGGGTTGAAGTTGTGGGCCCCTGGATCGCGGAGGGGAGTGGGCCGCGCTCCAAGACGCGGCCCACTGGCCCAGAGAAAGTTTCAAAGAGAGTTCCCAAAAAGTTCACAAGCGAAAGTTAACACACGAAAAGTTGCTGTGTCTCTGTTTTTGTTCCGGCTCTGGGGGCGTGTCTTATGACGTCAACTTTCCGCGCTTCCAGAACTCCTTTCATGAAATCATAGTTTTAACCACATACACGTTACTTAGACATAGACACACAACACACCTTGTTCACAGACAATGGTACACACGTTTTCTGATTTAAGATGTTAACAAAACAACATATTCATCCGTGCTTTCAGTTGTCCGTCTCAGGTGTATTGGCGTCCCGTGTCCACTGGGGGGGTGGTGGAACGCCGTTGCCGGATCGCCGGCCCATGGGTGATGTCTATGGCTTTGTTTGAGGCGATGCAGACCCACTGGCCCCCTTTGACCTCGCCGGGGGTGGGGGCCAGAGGTGTGCTCTGGGGACGATCACTGTCTTTGAGATGACTGCTGGATCTATGTGAGCCATTGTGGTGCTCTATCCGACCTCCATCGCCTTAGATGTTCCGAGCCGTGTGTTTTTGTTATCTCACACACAACCCCGCAGCTTGGCCGGCTTGCCTGGGTCATCGCGGGGGCAGTGCATTTTATTACCTTACAACATACAGCATAATATATAACATAATATTTATATATTCCCCTGTTGTCCCCTGTGGCTACGGGCGGCTCTCTGCTCCTGGTGCAGACGGCTCCTTGGATGACGCTTTTTCAGCTGGTTGCATCTGAACCCTGCCAAGTCTCTCATCATGGTTTTATTGTTTTACTGGTGTGTGTGTGTGTGTGTGTGTGTGTGTGTGTGTGTGTGTGTGTATGTGTGTGTATGAGTGTTCATGAGCGCGTGTGTGTGTTTGTCTGTGGTTTGGGGTGGGTCTGTTGGGTGGTCTGGGGGAGGGGTCTTGGGTCGGCGGGATTGTTTTTAACCAAACTGTAAAGCACTTTGTGTTGCATCTTTTGTATGAAAAGCGCTTTATAAATAAAATTTGATTGATTGATTTGATTGATATATTACCTAATTATATGCTAAATTAAAGTAGAGTGCTTTAAGCCTGGCCTTGAATGTGGAGACCGTATCTGCTTCCTTAACATAAATGGGAAGCTGATTCCACAGTAAAGGAGCTTGGTAGCTAAATGCTCTGCCGCCGACAGTGATTTTTGAGACCTTAGGAACCACCTGGCGTTTTGTGAGCGCAACGCTCGACTTGGTTGATATGACACTAACGTGTCTTGGAGATAGGAAGGAGCCAAGCCATTTATGGCTTTATATGTTAAGAGAAGGATTTTAAAGTTATGTGCTCCCTCCTTTTAGTACCTGTTAACATCCTAGCTGCAGTACTCTGAACGAGCTGGAAGCTCTTCAAAGAGGTTTTAGGGCATGCTGCCAATAAAGCGTTACAGTAGTCAAGTCTTGAGGTGACAAAAGCGTGAATAAGTTTTTCCGCGTCACTTTTAGGAAGGAAATTCCTAATTTTAGCCATGTTCCGTACTGTAAGTGGAAGTACGCCGTTTTAGTCGCTTGGCTTATATAAGCCTTGAAGGAGAGATCTTGGTCAAAAATTACTCCAAGATTCCTCACAGTGTTACTGCAAGCTTTTGAGGATGTGACCACAGAGATCACTTCTGCTTGGCTCACAGCCATGAATTTATCGAGGCCCACTGAAGAGTCTAAGTGGGAAGTCAAGTATGCCGCTTCAGCCTGTCCACTACCAACAGCAGGAGTAACCTCCTCCAGTTTGTCACGGATGGATGTAATTTTATTATTAAAGAAGTGGAGAAAGTCGACACTGCTCAGTGAGCTTGGAATTTTAGGTTTGATTGCGCTATGGCAGTTTGTGAGTTTAGCAACGGTGCTAAACAAAAATCTACTGTTATTTTTATTCGCTTCTATTAAAGTTGAAAATATTAGTGAGTTCGAGCCCTGCGCAGGTTCAACATTGGCTGTATTAGTTCTTTGAACCTTGTGATAGATTTATCATTTAAGGTTCTTTTCATTATGGTTTTATCTTGCGGCGCAGGAAAGTCCTCCAAATCGAGATCAAACGTGATCAAGAAATGGTCAGACAGCAACGAGCTTTGATGCTGGATGTCAACATTGGAGACATCACAGCCGTAGGTCAGGACAAGGTTCAAGGTGTGGTTATGAATGTGAGTAGGTTCCTCAACATTCTGAGTAAAACCAACACCATCTAGTACGGCGCTGAAAGCTTTGTTTAAGCTGTCAGTGTTGTCGTCCACATGTATATTGAAGTCTCCAGTTATCACTATGTTTTCCCGTTCCAAAACTAGGTTTGAAATGAAGTCAGAGAATTCTGTTAGGAACTCGCTGTAAGGACCAGGAGGTCGGTATAAAACTATAAATAGCACCGCTTTTTGTTTTTTCCACCCAGGACAGGTGATTGAAAGTGTTAAGTTTTCAAACGAGTGAAAAGCATTGTTGGTTTTGGGACTAAGAAGTAAGTTGGTGTGTGATATAATCGCAACGCCGCTGCCGCGACCTGTAGTTCTCGCTTTCTGGTAGTTAACATGCGTTGGAGGAGTGCACTCATTAAATCTAACGTAGTCGTCTTGTTGGAGCCAAGTCTCCGAGAGCGCAAACAAATCCAAGTTTTTGTCTATAATCAGTTCGTTTATGAGAAGCGATTTAGACGAGATTGATCTGACGTTCATTAATCCACATTTAACAACCCTACTTTTAGAACTATTTCTGTCTGTCTGAACTTTTATTAAGTCACTGTTTCTGACACCCAGGTCAGATTTCCTCGCATATAGTGCTTTAGACTTCAAGCGAGGAACACACACAGTTTCAATCTGACTAGGTTCTGAGGCTAGTAACTGAGCACACACAGGCACACACACACACGCACACACAGTTTCAATCTGACTAGCTTCTGAGGCTAGTAACTGAACAGATGGGGGCTCAGAGGTTGTGGCAGAGCAGCTCTGCACCCGGGCCTCAGTTCTGCACCGTCATTTGAGCCGGGCAAAACAATTTAGAGCCAGGGCCAAATTCTTAGCCAAAAGGGATGTACCCGCCAACGTTGGGTGGATATCATCCGAGCGGATGAGACCGGGTTTTCCCCAAAAGGCACTCCAATTGTCAACATGACCAACACCACTTCGAGGGCACCAGCCAGACAGCCGAGTGGCTGCTGAATGCTTCTGCACTGCTAGTGCTAGGTAGGGGCCCAGAGAAGATGACAGTGTCGGCCATTGTGCTAGCCAGCTTGCACACCGCGGCGACTTGCAGCTTCAACACGATGAATGATAATGAATGAATAATGATTGGATAAAAACTCAAAAGCCCTCTAAATCTTGACCTGGAGCTGGAAGCTGCGCAACCAACGTAAGAAAACTATGAAATGAACAGTATAGACTATGGGGAATAACTGTCAGGTGAAGTAAACCACATATTGTAGTTATAGTGAGAGATGTGTGATGGGAGAGATGTGAACGGATAGAGAATGTTTAGTCTGTGTCTTGTGTTTTGCTTCTTACTACAATGTCATGAATGGTATTACTGAATGTACTATAGTAGTATACCATGCACATTTGTGTCTGTGAAGATATGTGAAACTTTGTTGTTGCAAAATTCCTTGAATAAAATGTTTCCGTTAGAAACCATTATCGTCCGCATTCTGCAGCCCTATAGCCTGTCTGTTTTATTGTTTAATTACTGGAACAGCACACGCTCTCATGAACATTACCACTCTCTCTAATCCAGTACAATACAACCACACCCCCCAGATCAGTGTGCCCTGGGCTATATGGTCCTAGTGTCTTAATTTTCTTCTGTATTTAGTTCCTAATTGCATTTGTGAAGTTACATAAGGCTTTGACAGATGTTGCTGGGCACAATTGCCTGGTTCTTCTTCTTTCTTAAAGTACGAGTAATATTATGTCCTCTGCATGTGATCCATACATACCACTTGTACTACCCACACATTAATATTCATAATTATGGCTTCAAAGAGGCTGCAGATGCTGAATACGATGTCCACATTTCCGCTCATCTGCCCCAGAGCCTGCCTTCACCTGAACGCTCATGTGGACTCACTGAGCCAAATGACATAGTTCATCTAATTATGAAGATTTCTCCAGATAATTATCAGCAGCTACAGTGTGTTGAAAGGGGAGAACATTTTATACACTAAAGCTCAAAGTGAGGAGCTGTAGTGGCGCCCATTGTGTCTGCAGAGTCTTTTATCTTCAGGAGGAGTCCGTCCCGTCTCCACCGCAACAGATTCAATAATTAAATCTATTCCCATGTCACAGTATAATTTATGTCACGGTTAGTTGAAAACACGCTCAGCTATCATGTCCACAGTGAATGAAATCATATCATATCGCCCAGTGGTACAGAGGACACCCCATGTTTAAACTGAGCCAATTTTCCGACAACAAGCCTTACCATCCTTGGGTGATACTTCCAATTGATGCATATGGATGTGAAGGTCAATGTGTCATTGTGTTCAAGTCTCTAGGTTCTGGAAAGAAAAGAATCTCCTCAGCTGGAGACATCTGCCACTATATGTATTTCTGAGAAGGTGTGAGGGGGTTGGGCTGAGATCCACTCGAGCAGACCTGGGCAAAGTGCGGCCTCAGTGCAACTCTTACGAAGCTACATTATGTCCACAAACATCAACCCTTTTTTTTTTGTCCAGGGCTGAATTAATTCTATATGACTGGTTTTCAAATTGCAGAAAAAATACAAATTTGAAGAATGTGAATTTGTCTGGATTAGATTAGGTTTGTATAAACAGCTCCGATTTCCACCTCCTAAAACATGCAACAGTGGTGAGTGAGTGATTATCTACGTAATGTAAGGCCTATAAAAACCACTACTTTTTTCTAGTTATTTGAACCGTGTGGCTTGTACTGCGGTGGGTAATGACCGAAAGAACGAGATCGCGGATACAAGCGGTCGAAATGAGCTTCCTCCGCAGAGTGGCTGGGCGCTCCCTTAGAGATAGGGTGAGGAGCTCGGTCACACGGGAGGAGCTCGGAGTAGAGCCGCTGCTTCTCCACGTCGAGAGGAACCAGTTGAGGTGGCTTGGGCATCTGTTCAGGATGCCTCCTGGACGCCTTCCTGGGGAGGTGTTCCGGGCACGTCCCACCGGGAGGAGGCCCCGGGGAAGACCCAGGACACGCTGGAGAGACTATGTCTCTCAGCTGGCCTGGGAACGCCTTGGGGTCCCCCCGGACGAGCTGGAGGAGGTGTGTGTGGATAGGGAAGTCTGGGCGTCTCTGCTTAGACTGCTGCCCCCGCGACCCGGCAACGGATAAAGCGGAAGAAAATGGATGGATGGATGGATGGCTTGTACTGTATATAGCTGCTATTATTAGCGTTTACAGCTATCCATCTTGTTTTGTGTACTCTGTATTCCTACTGCATTGCAACACTGACATTTCCCTGCTATGGAATGAATAAAGATTCTGTTACCCTGCTTTTGTTTAGTCTTTTTCCAGATCTGC